CGCATCCCACCCCGGCCCCGGTCCCACCCTGGCCCCGCATGCCGCCCTGGCCCCGCGTGCCGCCCCGGCCCCGCCTGGCTCCCTGCATCCGGCTCCCGACCGTCCCTCGTGTCAGGCTTGTCTCTCCGACCTTGGTGTCCTCCAGGCCCTTCCCTTTTAAGACTGAATAATGTTCCCTTGCGTGGAGGGACCACAGTTGGTTTATCCGTTTCTGCGTCGATGACACTTCTGGCTACTGTGAGTCACACCGCTGTGAACGCACCGAGTCCCAGCTGTGTTGGGTTCATTTTTAACTTCTTTTTAATCAGAACTCTGGTTCTTCTGTGTTAAATGCTGTAGATAGAGAGTTTTTTTCTCAAAGTATTTTTGGTTCTAAGGGAACCATTTGTTTGTGAGGCTGGGCTGATCCCCAGACCACAGAGGATGCATCCGTGGGGTCGGAAGGGGCCTGGAGACACCCACGTTCTGGTCTCATCCACACTGGCCTTCGGGGATCAGCCCAGCCTCACACATCAGCTACCATCCTGTCTCACTGATCTCCTCCAGCCTGGGACTGTTTCTGCATCGTTGTCCTTGTGACGTGACACTTTTTCCAGGCCAGTCCCATGAAAGGATGTCCCCCCGAGGCTGCGTCCTGGGAGTGAGGTTGTGCCCTCACGTGTGGCAGAAGCAGCAGCAGCCTCGGTACCCCTCGCTGTGCACGGTGTGGACGCTGGTCCCTGCGTGGGGACGTGGCCCACAGGACCCCTCCTGTGCTGCTGTGCAGTGGATGAGGTGTATCGTCTGAAAGATCTGCAGGTTGAAAATCAAGTGTGCTTTCTCACAAAGCCAAGGAACGTGCCTTGCTCCGTCCTGAGAACGGTTTGCGCCTGGAGCTGCCCCTGGAGACCCCTGCGTCCAGCTCTTGGCCATTCATCCAGCAGAATCTGCTCAGGGACTCGGTGCCACAAATTCAGGGTCTGGGCAGGGAGTTCCTGGAACTCAGTGTCTGTAGTTGTATGAATCTTGGGACTCAGATTGTGAGACTCACCATGGATGTGGGGGCTTCTGAGAGCCCCTCCCAGGCCCCTCTCCTGCTCCGACTGCGCCTCCCACCCAGTGCCTGGCTGTGACGGCGAGGCCTGCGTTTTGATCAGCGCCCTGTCTTCCAGTTCACAAGGTCGTTGCCCGGAGTCTTTGGCTTTCTGAAAATCCCAGCAGTGCCACATTGCAGCGGGAGCCTCTGGTTCCTTGTGAAAGAATGGTGACCTTCGTGACACTGGGACAGAGGGGAGAGTGTTGACTTCCAGGGCCCTGGTGGGGCGGCCACCTCATGGCAGTGCTGCAGACGCCTGTCCCCCGGCTGGGCTCCTGGGCTGCGAGAGGCCCCCTTCTCTGCGCCGGCGTCTTCTGCTGTGTAAAGTGAGGTTCAAGTGCATGGCCTCACCTGCAGGGCTGTGACCTTGTGTGAGTGATCGGAGGCCCCACAGCCCCGCTGTGTGTGTGGCCAAGTGCTTGGGCTATGGGGCCGCATGCCTCTTCCTGCTCCTGTTTTTCACACGTGAAGACAGCCCCCTTTTGGGCAGACTTGTGCCCACCAGGAAGCGTGTACCAGGTGGCATCTTCCCTGACTGGGCCCCTCTGTGCTGCGGGAGGAATAGCTTCCACCAGGTTTGCTACCACTGAGGCCGCTCCTGCGAGGGCCCTGCGAGCGGCTCTTTGTGCCAACACAGCTGAGTGTTGCAGCTTTTGGGTGGCTCTGAGGAGCCTGCACGACGCAGACACCGTTCCGGCTGTGGGAGAGCCTGGGAGGAGGGGTGGCTGGCCTCTCAGGTCAGCAGGGGCCAGGGACCCAGACCACGTGGCAGGGCGCTGGATTCAGCTGAGCCACCTGATGGGATCAGCATGGAGGGGACTTGGGCCATGTGCCCCTGCAGGGGGCTCTTCTGCACGCTTCCTGGTGGAGGAGCTGGGGGCGATATGGACCTGATTCTGTGCAGAGGCCTTAGAAAGCCCCAGCCACCTTTTCCATTTTAGTCTGTGACCCACTTCAAGTTGATGTCTGCGAGGTGTTGGTCGCAGCTTAGTCTGTCTGCGGACGTGCAGGTGCTCTGCACCCTCGTTGGAAGGGCTGTCCTCCCTCCACTGAGCCTGCTCTTGCCTGGAGCTCAGCGAGCACCTCTGGAGCCTGTCTCTCTGCTCCGTTGTCCACCAGCCTGTCCTCCGCACTCTGCACCCTCGTCGTCTGGCTGCGTGTTGTCTTGAAAGAGAGCGAAGGAACTCCTCCCACTGTGTTTTTGACCAAAATTGCTGTCCTGCTTTTTTGCCTTTTCATGTAATTTTAGGGTAAGCTTGTCCGTGTCTAACAAAAACTCTTACTGAGATTCTGATAGGACCACACACCTGCCAAGTTAGCTAGAATCAAAAATAGTGGCAACACCAAACGTGAAGATGTGAAGAGATTGGACCCCAGATCTGTGTGTGACCCTGGATCCCACTTTGAATAAAGCAACTGCAGAAATGGATCCTGAGTGAAACCTGATGCACCTCGGTGGGCACGTAACAGGGAAACAGCCTGGCTGTTCTGAACAAACCGAGTATGCCCTGACCCATGGACCCAGTGTCACACTCCTAGGTGCTGGTCCCGGCGAAATGTCCACCCAAAACGCATGTGCACCACTGCATGTTCCGTTTGTGACAGCTGAAAACTTCTCGGGTGGGTGGTGGTGAAGCTCCGGAGGGTGTTGTCCTGGGACACCGCCGCAGGAAGAAGCAGCCAGCTGTCCTAACAGGCACCCGCTTGGGTGGGTTTCAGAGGAATTATGCTGAGTGAAACAGGCTATCCTCAGGAGTCCACGTAGGAGTGACTGAGCGTCTGTGCGGTTGTCAAAGTGGCCAAATCTAGAGCTGGAGCGTAGATGAGAGATCGTGAAGGGTCAGGATGGTGGCGGGGGGGCAGGAGGTACGAGAGGTCGCGAAGGGTCAGGATGGTGGGGGGGGCGAGGAGGTACGAGAGGTCGCGAAGGGTCAGGATGGTGGCGGGAGGGGGGCGAGGAGGTCTTTGTGTTGGTAGACTCTCCTCATCAAGGCAGGGGTGGATCCAGATGCGGAGAAAGGGGTGCCCGTCAGCCTGGGTATGTGGAGTCAGCTTCGGCACGCAGCCACGGAGCCTGGGCCATGGGGACTGCCCTGTGCAGTTTTTGCAGCTCTCTGTGCACCTGTTTCACGGCAACCCCGTGGCCCGTGTGTGGCAGCACATAGGCCGTTGTGGCCCTGGGGTGGTCTGGTGGGCCGTGCCAGCCCAGCGCCTTGGCCTGGAGCCCCTGACGCTTGCTCACCCTGGCCCAGCTGCTGCTTCTCCTCCTCACCTGGCGTTCCCTGCTAGTGTCCAGCATTTCTCACTGTTAACGTAGTCTCAGGGTCTGTACCCATGGCCTTGGCCTTGGAAGGCAGGCATTTCGGGAACCTGAGGCACGAGCCCTAGCAGGTCTTCCCAGCCAGGGTTCTGGACGAGCTGGGGGGCTCCTCCGTCTCCAAGGGGCCCCTCCCTCCGCGAGCCTCTGGTTTCCCATGTCACTTTCACTTTTCCCTGAAACCGAGCGCGGACGGCCAGGCAGGGCTGGTGCCTCACATGTGCTGGGGCACTGCTTACTCTTGTCTGAGTCTGCTACAGAAGTCAGGGTTACTTTAAGACGTCACCTTTGCAGCGGGAAGCAGTCTTTGCAGTGTCCACTCGAGACAGTGAGTGGGACGGGGCTCCCCGTGGCGTCCCGGCTCCACGCTCCTGAGTGCAGGACCGAGGACGGGGTGCCTTGTTTCCAGGACATGTTTCTTTGACGTTCTGGGGTGGTTCCCTGGGGGGTGGGGGCTGCTGCTCAGTGCTTTGGTGTCGGCCCCTCAGTGAGGTGGGTGCCCTCCCTGGGTGGCGGGCTTGGCTGGGCCCTGGCTGTGTCCTGGAATCGTGGAGGGAAAGACCATCTGCTGTGAGACGCCACGCCTGACGGTCTTTATTTTTTCAAACTTGGTGTTACGGAACTTGTCAAACAGCCACCAGAGCGGAGGGGAGTGTGCGGTGAGCCCCATGTCCCAGCCCAGCCTCAGTGCCTGTCTGTAGCGGCCAGTTTTTTCTCCCACACCCCTCTGTGCTCCTCCCCATCCGCTGTGGGTTATATTAAAGCAAACCCGGAGTTCTGGCTCTTCAGGGCTCCAGGTGCACCTCTTTACATTAGAAGAATTACCAGTGTCCTCATCATCCGTGTCCCTGCCAGCACCTCATGTCCATGCAGGTTCAGGTCTCCTCGGCTGCTTCATGGATGTGTTTCTGCAGTTGCTTTATTCAAATTTGGGTCCAGCCCAGGTTCACACATAGATCTGGGCCATTTCTTATGGTCTCTGGACTTGCTTTTAAGTTCTAGTGAGAGAAACCTGGGACCAAAAACCCAGGCTCTAAGACCCAGTGTTGGAAAGGAAATGTCCCCAGTGTCCCCCCCCAGTCCCTGTTGCCCCGGGCAGTGCAGTGTGAGGAGGTGCCCCTCGCACCCCCCACGCTCTCCTGCAGGTGCCATCTGGACTGGAGGACGGCCTTGGTGCACAGACCTGGGTTCCGGTCTGTGGCTCTGCCCCTGGGCTGGTGGCCTGGGTGGAGCAGTTCCTCATTCAGAACGACTGCAGGGCCCCGTCTCTCCTGCCCTGTGTCCTATGGGCATCTGTGGGGAAGCCGTCGGGTCGGGGACCCCAGCCTCATGGCAGCCGTCTATCCCTCCAGGAATGGGTACCACTGACCATGTCATTGTCCTGGCGTCCACCAACCGCGCTGACATCTTGGACAACGCGCTGCTGCGGCCTGGCCGACTGGACCGACACGTCTTCATCGACCTCCCCACTCTGCAGGTGGGCGTGACCGGGCTGCCCTCTGGGCTCATCCATCCTGCTCAGCACCCCCAGTCTGGCCCTCGCACCATGTCCTTTGTCCTGTCTCTGCAGGAAAGGCGGGAGATCTTTGAGCAGCACTTGAAGGGCCTGAAGCTGATGCGGGCCAGCAGCTTCTACTCTCAGCGTCTGGCGGAGCTGACACCTGGCTTCAGTGGTAGGGGCTGGTCACCCCGGGGACCCTTGCCCTGCTCCAGGGCCCGTGGCTGGCACTGCCTGGGTGGGAGTGGGCTGTGTGCACAGCGGGCAGTCAGAGGAACGGCCCTCCCTGAGGTCCTGGCGCTCTGTCCGCATGCTGCCCTGTCTCCTCGCTGCTCCCTTGGGCGCTGCCCTGTGAGGCCATGTCCCCACCCCACAGTCTCACTTTTACCACAAATAGAGATTTTTTTCTTTGTGGCTCTTGTTTTACGGGGTAACGTAAATAAAAACCCCTTTTATTATATTGTTTCTTCCTTCTTGACTTCTTGTGTTCTTAACTGGAAGCTGGTGACTGTTAAGGATCCTTTTTTGTCTGTCAGTGTGCGTGGGAAGTGGTCCAGCACGTGGCATCACGGGAATGGGGGGGATTGGTTGTGCCATGCGGCCCTGCCCCTGCCCTTCCCGCCCCTCCCAGCTGCCCCCCTTTGTCTGCTGGAGACCCCCCTGTGCCGGCAGGCGCTGACATCGCCAACATCTGTAATGAGGCTGCGCTGCATGCGGCGCGCGAGGGGCACCAGTCCGTGCACACGTCCAACCTGGACTATGCCGTGGAGCGCGTGGTGGCCGGTAGGTATGCACCCGGCGGGCTCAGCCCGAAACACCGGACAGACGGTGGGCGGAGGGCATGGGTCAGGCTGAGATGCCACGTGCTGGCATTACCACCTGCGACAGAGGCTGCGTTGGTGTGTCTGCCTTCACTGCAGGCCTTTCTGCGTGCCGAGCTGTTCCTAGTTTGCTGCCTGCTGGTTGAGAGCGGACATGCTTTTCAAGTGGGTGCATAGACGGGTCTCACAAGTGCACGTCCTTGGCCCTCAGCCATCATCAGCCTGCAACGCGTGCCTGTCGGTGGGGCTGGCCTGGCGCAGGGGGTGCAGGCGGGGGCCTGGGCTGCTGAAGGTGGAATCCGTGTGAGGGAGCAGGATGGAAGCCGGGGAGGCGTCTAGAAGCTTCCACAGCCCCTTTGGCACCACCCACACAAGCCTCTTGTCCTCAGCAGGGTTCAGACCAGTCACTGAAACTGAACTGCAGGGCAGCAGGCCCCCCACAGGCGCGTCTGCAGGGCCGTCGCCCTCGTTCTGAGTTAAGGTCTGGGCAGGGGCCTCTGCCGCTCAGGGAGGGATGGAGTTGGCATGGGCACAGCACTGCTTCTCACTGCACACTCGGTTCTGTACAAGCTGTTGATTTTACGGGGATGTGGATGAACTGCCTCAGGAGTGTGGGAGCAGGAGGTGAGGACGGGGTCCCCGGGGTGTGCGGTGCCTCAAGCATGGGTGCTCCCCATCCTGAGCTGGAGTGTCTGCCGCGTGACTGGCTCCGGGTGACGCACTGCATCGTGTGGCCAGCGCGTCTCAGGACGGGCCAGCTTACTGCCAGGGGTGGTGGTCGCACCTGGGAGTGTGAGTCCCACGTGCCCTGAGCCTCGAGGTCGCACTGGGTGCAGGCTCTGGGGTGTCTGGGAAGTTGGGGGCAGGGGTGACCCCTCAGCAGTGACGTGGACTGGGCAATGGGACGTAAAGGCTGGGGTGAGAGGGCTGGAGAGTCGAGGCGGCAGCTACCCTGCTTGGTCTGGGGGGCCAGCCCAGCAGCCCCACCAAGGACCTCACTGGAGCCACTCGAGTTACGCCCACGTTTGCAGGAGTGGGGACGAGCCAGGCCCCTCCAGAGTTTCCCGAGGAATCATGAAGGATGGGATGGGGTCAGCAGGCGGCAGGGTCATGGAAGGTCTGGAGACGCTGGTCGCTGATCCAGGGTCGTCTGTGTCCTGAGCTTACGTTCCTGGGTGTCCTCTCAGGGTCAGCCAAGAAGAGCAAGGTCCTCTCCAAGGAGGAGCAGAAGGTGGTCGCGTTCCACGAGTCGGGCCACGCTCTGGTCGGCTGGCTGCTGGAGCACACCGAGGCTGTGATGAAGGTGGGCATGGCCGGGCGGGACTGGAGGGCAGGGGTCTCGGCCACAGAACCCAGCCAGCCCTGGAGCAGAGCTCCCTGTGGAGGGCCTGTGGTTGTGAGGGTCCAGGCTCAGGGCAGGGTGTGCAAGGGGAGGAGGCCTCAGCCTCACCGGTGGGCTTGCCCGTCGGAAAGCCACTTGACGACGTGGGGTCTCCCTCCCGTCTGCGCTATCCGTCATGGAGTTAAGAATTGCCAGGTTTACTGTCACTCTGAAACGTGTTCCTTTCATGATCTCTAAGCTTGGAAGGAACTGAGGTTAGCACACAGTTTAAAAGCTATTCTTGCAGACGTTTGCAAGCTAGATGAAAACGCTGGTCAGGTGGTGACGTCACGGGCACCTCCCCGGGCACGTGCACTCGTGACCAGGAGGTCCCTGAGTGATCATGGAGGACACTTTCCATGTATGGGGTATGGGTGCCCTGTCTTGAGGACTGTAACCTTGCCCTCCACAGGCGGGAACGGGGGCCTGGTCCCACCTCTCCTGGGGAGCCGCCCTGCGGTTGGCTTCCTGACGTCCAGAAGTGGGCCGCAGCAGCCACGTTCTGGGGCTTCAGTGTCCCGTCCTGGCATTTCCGGGGATGTGAGTTACAGCAGGGCAGGTTGTTGGTCTGGTTTCCTTGGATGCATCCTGCTGACCAGGCTGGTTCCTTTTGTGTCCTCGTCTGAGGCCATGACAAAGCCGCTGTGCACAAGAGGCACCCCCAGAAGTGGGCTGCACCGTCACCTGCCAGAAAAACCCAGTAATTGAGATAAATGTTGTAATGCAGCATCTCAGGAAAATCAACATAGAAAAACCCGTGATGAAGTAAATACCCTAACATGCAATTTCCTGTTCTCAGAATTTTCGATTCATTTGCCTAAATGCCAGATGAGCTAGTCACACAAGAACTCCCACTCCCCCAAGTTCGGTAGTCTGCCAGGGACCGATCGTGACGTTTCCCCTTCAGAGTCGCAGCGTCCCCCTGCTGCTGTAGCCCTCAGGACGGCACTGCTGCACGAATCTCAGCTGCCCAGGGCCGCTGGCAGGGGTGCTCTGGGCCCTTGGGTGGGTGGTCACGTGCACAAAGGACTCACATCCAGCAGTCGGGGCGCTAGCTGCTGCTGTGGTGTTGGGGATGGTCAGAGGCACTTTACCGTTCTGACACTGTCCCCACCGGCACTGCTGAAGCCTGTGTCCTGCCCACTCACCCGGGCCCCCGCTGTCCTGTAGGTGTCCATCGCGCCGAGGACGAACGCAGCCCTGGGCTTCGCTCAGATTCTCCCGAGAGACCAGCACCTCTTCACCAAGGAGCAGCTGTTTGAGCGGATGTGCATGGCCCTGGGTGGCCGCGCCTCCGAGTCCATCTCCTTCAACAGAGTCACTTCTGGTGGGGAGCCGGGTTTCCTGGGGGGCCTCCAGATCTGGTACCCCTCCTGCAGGGCGGGGGGTGGACCTGATGGACTTGTTGTGGGATGCAAACGTAATTTTCAGTGTCGTTAAGTGTTTTATTAAAGATGAGCTGTGGTCCAAGGAGATTTGGAAGCAGGCACGACTTTTTAAATAGGTTGTTACAAAAGCTTTTCCCTACTTATGGACTGAGTGCACTTGGGTGGTTAGTGTTGGCTGGGGCTCCACACAGTTCAAGAGCCTTCCCTGAGCCATCAGGAGTGGGCAAGGTTCCCGAGATGCGGGGTCCCTGTTGGCTGTGTGCCCTGAGACCTGGGCTGGTGCCCGGTAGCTGCCGGCACAGTGAGCCCAGATGTGCTTCCTTTGTAGCTGGTTTTAAACAAAAGAGCATTGTTTCTAAGTTTTAAAGATGGGATACAGTTGTCCCCTGGGCCCCCGCCTCTGCTGTCAGGCCCAGGCGCGTGCCGTGGGGTGCCCAGGGCAGAAGCGTCTCTGCTGACCCCGCTCCCCACCACTCCAGGGGCGCAGGACGACCTGAGGAAGGTCACCCGCATTGCCTATTCCATGGTGAAGCAGTTTGGGATGGCACCCCGCATTGGGCCTGTTTCCTTCCCTGACGCCCAGGAGGGCCTCACAGGTGTTGGACGGCGCCCCTTCAGCCAGGGCCTCCAGCAGATGATGGACCATGTGAGTCTGCGGCCTGAGCCGCGGGGCTGGGAGGTCGTCTCATGCCGGCGCCTGGCCTCTGCCCGCGGGTCTCGGCTCCGTGGGTGTCCTTGCTGGGGGGACTATCAAAGAAACGCCTTGAATGATAGAGCCAGTGACCCCCTTGGCCCACAGGCCACACTGCGCTGCCCATGGGAGACCACACCAGGCTGTGTCAGCACCCTCGGGGAGCTCCGGTCGCTTGGTGCGCTGGCACTTGGGGCAGCCTTGGGCGTGGATGATGTGGGTGCTGGGCCTATGGCTTCCAGAGCTGGTGGGGCACCTGTGGGTGTGATGGCTGCTGGGCCGGCCTCTTGGCAGGGCACTCTCGGGGCGAGGTCGGGGCTGGAGACACTTGGGCCAGGGACGAGAGGCCGTTTTCTGAGCCTGCATTTCACCATGGACTTCAGAGTGGGGCCGGTGCAGGTGGTTAGCCACTGGCACGTCACAGGCCTGCTCCCTTCCATTGGCAGGAGGCAAGACTGCTGGTGGCCGAGGCCTACAGGCACACTGAGAAGGTGCTGCTGGACAACCTGGACAAGCTGCAGGCGGTGAGGGCCCGCTGCTTTCTGACCTCCGAGCACTGCCTGTCCCACCACGAGGCCCGGCCAGGGTGCCGCCCGAATACACTGCCGACTCGGTGGCTGTCCTGTGCGGTGTTTGTATGTGCGCAGCACAGTAGAAAAGTATAGCCAACAGGAGTTTCACCCAGCTCAACGGAAATCCAACACCCTTCCCGCTTGTTTTGGCTTTTTATTACGAACACATCAGGCCAGTTCCTTTAGAGCAGGCAGGACCTCGTAAAGCACCCTGTACTCTTCACCCAGCTTCAGCAAGTAGAAGGTTTGGTCAGTTTTGTTGAATCCGTTTCCACTCTTAAACTTCTAGAATTTTTTAAATAAATTGTAAAGCTTAGAGCAGTTAGGCTTTCAGGAACGTTGTAGGCGTAGCAGAGCCCCTCACGCCCCACGCCCAGTTCTCTGTTAACATCTTTCACTGACGGGACAGTTTTCACAACCCCGTGAACCGGTGTGGACGTGTCACAGCTCAGGTCCGCACTCCATGCACGTTGCCTGGTTCTTACCTCCCGTTCGTTTCTGCTCTTGGGTCCCGTACTCTGCCGAGCCCACGGGCCGTCAGGTCTTTCTCAGCAGCTGCTTCTCCCTCCTGTTGTAACAGCCTGGGCCGTCTGAGGGGCGGGCTGATGTGAGGAGAGCATCCCCCAGGCAGGGTCTGTTTGATGCTCCTGCGGTAACGCTGGGTGCTGGGTTGGAGGAGGTGGCCTCGGGGGTGAGGTTACTGTGGACGCAGCAGGAGTGGGCAGCTCTTTGTGGGTGGGCTGTTGCTTTAATGTGAGATGGTGGGGGTGGGGGTTTGGGTCCTCAGCAGCAGCACCAGTCCCCCGGAGCCATGAGCAGCGCAGAATGTTGGGCCCACTGGGCCCTGCGGAGCCCGAACCTGCAGTGACCCGGGCCTGTCACCAGTGCGGTCCCTGCGCTCCCCCTCACAGGACTCGGGATGGTGCGGTGGGCCGCGTGTTCTGCCTCTGTCAGGAGTGAGGTTTGCTCACACTGTCCGGCGTCCCATGGGCTGGCAACATAGAGTTGACCTTCCAGCACTGTGGAGGGTGGGGTGCTGATCCCTTCACCTTTGAAAATCCGTGTGTAACTTGACAGTCGGCTGGCGATGCTTTGTCTGCGGATCCTACCAGCTGTAGACTGTGTGGTGCCGCCATCCATGTTTGTTGAAAATCTGCACATAAGTGGACCTGTGCAGTTCAAACCGTGCTGTCCGAGGGCCAGCTGTGTCAGAGCAGCCAGTGTTGGGGGGACAGGGACAGAGCAGCTTCTCCCCAGCTGTGAGGTCTCCCAGCTCTCACCGTCCTGCCCCGCAAGCCCCAGCAAGGAGTCCTGCATGGCAGCCCTCCATTCCCCCACATGTGACGCTCACCTGGCAGAGGAAATCAAAGTTGCCCAAAATAAACAGATTTGGACGGGGAGTGGGAAGATGGAGGAGGCCGGCAGGTGGGACTTCACACTCTTTAAGGTGGGGGTGGGGAGTGACTCTCCGTGCTTCCCGGGGCAGTGGCGGGCCCCTCCTCTGCCCCTGTCCTGCTCACGCCACCCGTCTGTTCTCCCCAGCTGGCGAGCGCCCTGCTGGAGAAGGAGGTGATCAGCTACGAGGACATCGAGGCCCTCATCGGCCCGCCGCCCCACGGGCCCAAGAAGATGATCGCACCTCTGAGGTGGAGCGACTCTGAGAGGGAGCGGCGGGACGCGGGCGAGGAGGTGCCCCAGCAGTAGCCCCCTTGCGGGGAGGAGCCGTCCTGGCCCGGATAGCAGGCCTGCTTGCCTGTGGCCTGGGGACCTGGGAGGGGCGGTGGACGGGCCTGAGATCTATTTACTGACTTCCCTGCCTGTGAGGAGTAAACAGACCGTAGTGCAGAGATGGTTTCATCTGTGTGTGTGGGTGGTCCTCGCCCGTGGGAGGGTCTTCTGGGCTTGGTATGGGTGTGCATGGAGTGGTCCCCTAGCTCCCAGGCTTGTGACACTGGTCTCGTGGGTGCCGGGCACCTCCCAGCCCGTGACTCAGTCAGAATGCTAGCAGGGCATGCCTGAAAGGACCCTCTGAACTGATGGTTGCCCGTCCTCTGCTGGGCCCTGTCCTGGGCTCATGTGTCAGAAGGGTCACAGTCGGACCGACATTGGATCTGGAGGACTAAAGCACCGCCACCTGCTTCCGTGAGGATGGGCGCACCTGAGGATTGTGACTGCGTTGGAAACTCTGTGAGCAGAGGGCCTGTATGTCCTGCGTGGTCAGCTCTGCTCCAGAGGCTGTTGGGTTTGTCCTGTGTTTGCAGTGCGTAATGTCAGCTCTCTGGTGACCAGTCAGGAGGGGAGGAACAGACAGATGCAGTCCGCTGCTTCACGCTGGGCTCCTTGCCTGGCAGAGTGGATATAGCGTGGCCTGACCGTAGCTTCTGGAACTCTGCATCTGAGGTGTGAGGGCTCCTCCTTCAGACAGACATGAGTTCTTTAAGTAAATGTATATTTAACATAATCAGAGCCTCAGGGGAATATTAGAGAATACTGAAAGCGTAATTTACAGTTCTTGGGTTTTGGGGGAGGGGAGGCAGGTGACTTGGTTTTTAGAGGCAGTGCTGAGGATTGAGCCCAGGACCTTGTGCATGTGTAGCTATACCCTCCCCGACTTACAGTTCTTAAATCATAATACAGATTGTTCTCCACTCTGATCTATGCTCAAATAAACGTGATTTCTTTGTTATGCTTTTTTAAATTCTATTTTTTAATTTTTTGTTGAGATGCAGTGTATTAGTTTCAGGTGTACAACACGACTGGTATTGAGAGGATCGCCACAGTTGGTTAACATCTGTCACCACACAGTTACAGAAGTTTTTCTTGTGATGAGAACTTTTAAGATCCATTCTCTAGGCAACTTTCAAATAAGACCATTTTGACAATAACGCACTTCCAGGTGCTCACCGACAGTGGTTCTGCTGTTTCCGGCATCTTTCCTTCAGCCTCCATCTGGGTTCCATGTAGCCTATGGCTCTGGACAGCTGTGTGGCTAGCTGGCTGGCTCCAAGCTCTGTGATTAAGCTCTGAAGTCGTCCTGTCCCTACTAAGTTATTAGGCTACTGCTTTTCCATATTTATGACATGGTTAGCAGGCTAATTTACAAAGTGCTATAGTGACATGACTTTTTTTTTCTTAAAACATTACAAAAACCACTTTGCTGTTAGGAGATTAATTTTAAAAATCAAGGATGTGTGTCACAGGGCTCCAGGAGCTGCTGCCGAGCATCTCTGATGCCAACCTTGAAAGCTCCAGCTGGAGGCCAGTCAGGTGCAGGAGTGGAGTGAGCCCCGCGGTCTCTGGGGCCCGGTCTTGCAAGGAAATCCTGGGAGGCTGTTGAAGACCCCACAGCTCCAGGGGAGTGCATCCGGGAACCCTGCCCCTAGGTGGACACTGTGTCCAGGGGACATTAATGAGTCCCTTCAGTGACCCTTGCAGGCCCAAGCCTCGGACAGAAGCCTCTCAGCAGAGCTATGGCTGTGGAGTTCTGCGCCAAGGAGGACAGAGACAGTCCCTATAGCTAAAGACTTTTAAAACCCTTGAGCCAGCAAGTCTTTGTAGCAGAAGGACTCCTGCGTTACAAGTTCATGACAGTTCACTTCTTCCATCTGTACCAACTGAAAAGGTGAGCATGTTTTCAGCAGAATTTCGTATGAGAACCTTCCTTGCCTTGCTGTCCTGCATACTTTTCGAAGGAAGGAAGTATGGAGTATCCGTGCATGGGACATTATGGCGGGCTGTGTCGTGTGCCGCGGCCCAAGGTCCCGGAATTAGTTTCACTTCCTGACTGCTGCAGACTTCAGGCCCTCACCCAGTGACCTGGGCAGCATCCTGGCTGAGCAGACGGAGCTGCGTGAGTCTGTGGGTCTGTCTGGAAAGAGAAACTGGGGATGGGGACAGGGATGTGTTTGGGAATAGAAAGAGCAAGTTAATGGTGGGATCACCAAAGGGCATCTGGGAAAGACGTGGGAAACACGGGCTAACGCTAGACTGATTCAAACCCACGTCAAGGCCAGGGTCTACTCGGCAGACATTCTCTCCAGAGTCCCTCTGCTGCCACAGTGGTGAGTGTGGGTTCAGGCCTGGGTGGTGATGTGTGGGGCCGATACGCATTCTTGCTCTCCTCCCTTCTCTTCTGCACTTCCTTCACTGCTCTGGCTCCTACCACATCCCCTGGAAGCTGAGCTGGTGTCATTAGCAACAACCAGCATCCCTGACTTAACCATGTGCTGGCCCTGGCCTAACTGGCCTCCCAGCAGCTCCTCCCATTTCACAGAAAGAAACAGTTAAAATAACTTGCCCACAGCCTCAAGACTAGTACAAAGACTAACCAACTCCACAGCCACTCTCCTGTGGGTCACTGACCTTCCTGTTTGGTCATCTGTTTGTGAAAGTGGCAGGCTACAGATTTTACACAATGACGTCACAGATAAGTACCATTTTTGCTGAGAAGTGCTTCCATGCAGTAGCTAACATCTCTCAGCAAAGCAGGAGGGGGACCACCCTTGCTTCAGAGATGAGCACACACCTAGCCTCTGCACTTGTCCGTCTCCCTGACCATGACCGTGTACCTCCTCAGGGAGCCCCAGCCTGATTTTTCTAATACCCAAGGGTGACTCAATAGGGCAGAAAACTCTGCAACCTGGTTACTCAGGGGGTACGACACGGGCCTCCAAATTTCTCATTTTGTATCATGAAATTCTTAAAATACTCATTAGGTTTCACGAGGAGGAAGCTTAGTTATTGGGGTGAGAGCGGGGAAGAAGGGGTTACTGGGTGCAAAGGCTTACAGATGGCAGGAGGGTGCTGGCGACTTAACAAGGCAGTCTTGGGAACAAGAGGCGCACAGGGCCCAGGTCACAGATGTTTTAAAGAAGCTCGCCTGCGTGGGAGGCAGTGTGCGCGGACGGCCACGCGGGTTCTTAGTTCCACACTCAAGACCTCTCTGCGACAAGCGCGGGGCGCTCTGGAGGCCCGGCTGTAGCCCCATCTGGAGTGCGTTCTGCCCAAAGGCACGGCTCCCAGCGGCGGCAGGGGCTGCGGACCGGCCCGCGGGGGAGAGGCTTCAGGTGGTGGCGATACCGACCTCGCCTCGCGGCGTGAACAAGCAGAGCCGGACCCAAGCCGACGCTGTCTGCGGGACTGGGAGGGACTGGGGCTCGGGGAGCGCGGAGAATAAGGAAAAAGAGTTACGGCGCCATGCCCAAGGGCACCGCGAGAGCTCCCGGGAGAGCTGGTACGTCACTCGGCAGCCTCAGCTCTGATAGGTCGGAACGCTCCAACGCTTCTGATTGGCCGGACCCACTACCATCCCAGGGTGCTCTGGGACGCTTCTTCCTTTCCCCGGCTGTACGCCCTCGAAGGAGGTGAGTGCGCGCCGCTCGGCGCCATCGCTGCTATCCGACCCC